ATGGCTCACGGGCCCAGCCGCTCTGCGGCATGTGGGATCTTCCCGGACCGGGGCACGAACCTGTGTCCCCTGCATCGGCAGGCGGACTCTCAACCACTGCGCCACCAGGGAAGCCCGGCAGGTGGATTCTTAACCACTGTGCCACTAGGGAAGCCCAGCCCTGGTTTATTTTTGTAGGAAACTGTATTTCAAGACCACAATGTGGATTCCAGGGATTCTCATTTCTACTGGGTTAATTTTTTTTTTTTTGGCTTTTTCCATGGATAGAGCTAGGAAATATACCAATATTTCTTTTCAATATAAAATGCCTCATGAGTTCAAATTGATACTTCCAGTGAAAAATTCAGGACTACTACTAAATTCTTCTATATACACCCATTATCTCTTTTCTTCCACATTTAGAATTCTGGCTGTAAGGACACAATCAATTAATCAATCAATCAAATTACAATATCTCACAATTATTCATTTGCTCTATCCCACACGCACACACTCTACAGTCTTGGACAACCTTACTAATATCACCAAGACAAATATGATTGCTGAAAAGCAATGACATTTTTTCCACGTGTTCTCCCCCTCCCCATCCTCCCTCCACTTTTTATATCTCACCTGAGTCGATGTTGTTAGGTGCCGTACTCTATTCACCCAGCCTTAGTTCTACATCTGATGCCTGAAGTTCATTCTCTAATAGAATCCTCAGGACCCACAGATCATGGCACTGATATTCCCTGATTTCTTACAGGCTGCTAACTGCCTATGCCTTTTATATTTGAAAGTCTGTTTTGCTGGATGTACAGTATTCAGCTCACGTTTTCTTTCTTGAGTATTACGTAGGTGTCTCCATTTTCTTCCAGCAGAAAGCATTGCTATTGCAAAGTCTGAAGACAATCAAATTTTCGTTTTCTCATAAGTCTCTTGCTCTCTTTATGTAGATTCCAGAAGGATTCTTTCTTTTTTTCTTTAAAGCTTAGTAATTTTACTGGAGCATATCTTGGTGTTGGTTATTCTGGGTGGAAATTCTCAAATACATGGTGTGCTCTTTAAACCTGTAGTTCCACACCTTCCTGGTTCAGGAAGGCTTTCTGGAATCACAGTGGTAAATGTCTATTCCTCTGCCATGGCCATCTTCTCCGGGGACTCATGTTATACAAGTGTTTGACCTTCTTTGCCAACCTTCAATAGGCAAGGGGTTAGCTTTCTCTCGAACGCTTTTTATCTGTGCCTTTGTATCTCTTTGATTTTAAAAATGTTCCTCCAGTTCACTTTTTTATTTCTCTTAAGGCCTTATCTACTGGGTTCTTCCTAGTGTGGTCTTTATTTCTGAAATTATTTTTTCCTTTGTTTGAAATCTTCCCTGAATTCTGTCATTCTATCTCCTCGTATCTTGGTTTTTCCCATTTCTGATTTCCATTGTTCTTTCCTACCTCTTATTATTTCCTTAACATCTTTTAGTTCATTTTGGATAGGAGGTTACTTTTTTTCTTTTTCTTTTTTTCACATCTTTATTGGAGTATAAATTCTTTACAATGTTGGGTTAGTTTCTGCTGTACAACAAAGGGAATCAACTATGTGTATACCTATATCCCCATATCCCCTCCCTCTTGCGTCTCCCTCCCACCCTCCCTATCCCATCCCTCTAGGTCATCACGAAGCTTTGAGTTGATCTCCTTGTGCTATGCGGCAGCTTCCCCCTAGCCGTCCATTCTACATTGGGTAGTGTATATATGTTAACGCTGCTCTCTCACTTCATGCCAGCTTCCCCTTCCCCCGCTGTGCCCTCAAGTCCGTTCTCTATCTACATCTACGTCTTTATTCCTGCCCTGCCCCTAGGTTCATCAGTGCCGCTTTTCTTAATTCCATACACATGCCTTAGCGTACGGTATCATTTTCAGATTCTACAAACCTAGTACGTTACAACTTTGATCTGTTATGTCTTTCTGGAATGCTTTCATTGTTTACGAAGGATATTATTCTGCTCTTAATTCTCTTTTTTAAAAATAACTCTGGGGCTTCCCTGGTGGTGCAGTGGTTAAAAATCCGCCCGCCAATGCACAGGACACGGGTTACAGCCCTGGTCCCGGAAGATCCCACATGCCGCGGAGCAGCTAAGCCCATGCGCCACAACTACTGAGCCTGTGCTCTAGAGCCTGTGCTCCGCAACAAGAGAAGCCACCGCAATGAGAAGCCCGCGCACCGCAACAAAGAGTAGCCCCTGCTCACCGCGACTAGAGAAAGCCCGCGCACAGCAACAAAGACCCAACACAGCCAAAAATAATAATAAAATAAATTTTAAAAAATATAACTCTGTATGGGATTTATCTCAGTGCTTTTATCTCGCTCGTGTTTGTGTGATACTAGGTGGTTTCTAAGTTTGTAAGCTTTGTGGCCCAGGACAGCTTTGCTAATTCACAATGCTCCCTCTTCAGCCTGGCTCCTCCAAGACACATCACATGGTATCTGGAAATGTGGCCCCTCACTTTCTGAGCTTTACTCCCTGCCCTCGCCTTTCTCTGGACCTTCTCTTTCTTGTCTCTGTTGTCCCATCCTGCTCGATTTTGTGCCAGCAGCTTCTTACCAGTGTGGACCCTGAGCTGGAGGGTGCCGTGGTCATTGTGAAGGTTCGAGGCAGCTGAGCCCCCACACCTCCCTGCAGCCCTTTGCACTCACCTGCTTTCGGGTGGGTGAGACCCCTGGCGGCTCCAGCTGGCGTCCTCAGATGGCTGCACATGCTGCCGGTGAATTCGTGTGGCCGTTTGGGGCTCACCTGCTCTCAGGTCCATCGGCTGCCCAGCTGTGTCCTTCTTTTTCCTCCCGTATAGATGTAGATGCCTGACATGCAAGTCTGGGGTCCTTTGTAAAGGCCTGGCCTACTCATGCCCCAGGCTGAGTCCCACCCCGAAAGTGGATTGGGTGATGAAACTCCAGATAGATTTAGGTAAACTGAGGTCAGAGGGACCAGAGCCCCCTTTCCTGGGTAGAACCTGAAAACCCTAGAATTATCCCTACCTACTTGTACTTTGGGATTCACGGGGCAGTGTTTAGCCAAGTCTTGTCATAAACGCTGTTCTTTTTTGGTTTTGCTAGCTAGTTATCCGCCATGTTCAGATGCCCCTTCCATTTATTCCTCCTGGCAACCCTTCGAGGCAGGGGTGATCATACCACATGACAGGCTCTGAGGTGGAGCAACTTGCCAAGGGCCCTCAGCTGGCATGTGGCCAGGTGGGATGTGCCTCCTGAGATGACTTCATGGGCTGTGAGAGCACCTGGCACCACACCTGACACCTAGAGAGCCATCAGGCATCCCTAGCTTACTAAGTGCATACTACGTGCCAGGGACTGTGCCAGGATGGGGGGTAGGGGAGGCACCTGGTTCTCTCCATAGCCCAGGCCTCGGCCCCCGCTCACCTGCTGAATCTGCGCCCAGACACCTCATCAACCAGGTACTGCCCAAGTTAGGGTCTGCACCCTTTCTCCCTGGACCACCAAACCACCCCACCCCCATCCAATATCCAGGTGGTGGCCACAGCACTCCAGGGGCTCCCTACCCCCAAAAGGAATGGGACTGGCCCCTTGGTGGGGCATTCGAGCCCTCGAGAACAGTGCCCAAGCAGTCTCTTGTCATCTTTGTCTCTCTGGCCACATCAGAGTCAGTGCTGTAAATGGGCTGATATTCTTGAGATATTAACCACTGTGGGTTTCCCCAGACTTCCTGCCACTCACAATCCTTCCCGGATCTGGCCACAGCTGGGGTGAGTGTTCAAAGCTCCTGGCTGGGGGCAGGGATGACAGAGAGACTCACAGGGAGTGGAAGAGAAGAATCAGGGCTGCTTCTCACCTCCAGGCTCGGCAGGGATACGTGGGTGATGTGTCTGCCCACCACACTCCAAGCCCACTCCACAGCAATGCTCCAGCGGAGGGAAGGCCAGCCCTGCCCTGCCCCACCCCCAGCTGGGTCCCCAGTGACAACGCCCCAGAAACTCCGGAGGAAACTAGGGCAGATGGGGGCACTGCGCCTGCACTCCAAGCCTGAGGCAGCTCTGCATCTGGGTATGACAGAGCGGGGGTCCCTGTGGGCCCAGGAGTGGCACGGCAGGGGGCAGGCCCACAGGGGCCTTGATGTCAAACACAGAGCACACGGCCATTCCGCACGTGGATCGATGCCCAGGCATGACCAGAATGGGGACATCTCCACAGATGTCAGCCCGGAGAGATGAGACCCCCAGCTCCAGGCAGACCCCACAGCCTGGACCTGGGACAGAGCCTAGGACAGAGCAGTGGCCCCAGAGGGACTGAGAAAAGCCCGACAGTCAGGAACCACCCAGGCAGTGTTCAGCCCTAGAGCCACATGCGGCATGCAGTGTGGAGCAGCCTCCAAGAAATGTTGGCAAAACTGGAAAACCCACTAACGTAAACAGAAGGGTGGGCTTACTCTATCCAACAGATCAAGAAGCCCAGCGACTTGCCTGGATCACCCAGCAAGAATGTGGAGGCACTGGAGTCCGACCCGGCGATTCTCTGATCCGGGAGCCCAGCTTCCGCCACGTATCCACTGAGTGCCCCCCACACAGCCCCGCCTCCTCGATGGTCCAGATGTGGCAGCATGGTCTGGACAGGCCACAGGGGCTCTGAGGCCAAGACAAGGTGCCTGCCGCTACCAGGGAGGGAGCTGGGGCAGGTGTGGCATTGAGGCTGCGGGCTGCAGGGCTCAGCTTTCCAGAGTTTTCCGGAGAGGTCCTCCGCATGGACCCGGAAGAGGAAGAACCTCTCAAACGGGTTCCCTAAGGCCTGGCATGGCCCTGGGTCCCTGCTGTTTACACTGCAGCCTGAGCCAGGTTTGATTTTTCCTGCTGGATGGGAGGGGACCTGAGGCTACCTGGGCCCCTCACACTAAATTCAAGCCCAGGCGGGCTGCCAGGGGTGCCTCGCTCGTTCAGCAAAGTCTGCTAGCGCATCAGCTATTTGAGGACACTGCCTGGGCGAGGGGGCATCGGAGAGCGGCTGAGGAGGGCCTCTGCCCTAATGGGGGAGACAGACAACGGCAGAGGGAGAGTCGGTATTAACACTAACAGGTGGGATGTTTATAGTAAGTCTTGTCATTGTCCCAGCACCGTACTGTGGACACATTACTGTCTCCACTTGACAGCTGGGGAGATGAGGGGCGGAAGTGTGGTAGCTGCCCCGGGTCACGCAGCTGGTGCATGGCTCTTATGGCCTGCCTGCTGTGTGCCCCTAAAATCCATGCCGAAACCCTAGCCCCCATGGAATGGTATTAGGACGCGGGACTTCGGGGAGGTCGCAAGTCAGGAAGGCAGAGCCTCCACCATGGAAGAGGAAGCGGAGCTGGCCTGTCCTGTGAGGACAGAACAATGACTCTGCAAGCTAGGAAGAGGGCCTCAGCAAACCTGGCCACGCGGGCACTGACCTCGGACCGCCAGCCTCCGGGACCAGGCAAAATCAATGTTGTTGTTGAAGCCGCCCGGTCTGTGGCATTCTGTTACAGCTGCCCAAGCTGACCGAGATGGTGGCCAAGCCACCCTATGAACCTGGAAAGAGAGGACCCAGAGTCCACGATAAATACGCGAAATAAACAGTGTGTTAGGTTGTGATACATGCAGAGCAAAAAAGTAAAGCAGAAGAGAGGAGTGTTCCTATGTGCACACAAGTATGTGTGTACATACTGGTATCTATGTGTATATGTATGTGTCTCTGTGTGTACATATATGCCTGCTTGTATGTGCATCTGTGTATACATATGTGTCTGCATGTGTGTGCATGTAGGTACATCTGTGCGCGCGTGTGTGTCTATGTGTGTGCAGGTGTGTCATGTATATGTGCATACATCTGGCTGCCTGTGTGTGTGCATGTATGTATGTCTGTGTTTGTATACCTGTGTGCGTGTGTGTGTGTGCATGTGTGTCCATGGGTGTGTTGGGAAGGTTGCCAGTTTCGGGAACTTGGTCTTGGGGCTGGCATTGGCCCTCCAGGGGACAGTACTACGTGCCCCTGCTCGTGCTTGGCGTCTCTCCCGGGCCCTTGAGGCAGGCTCTGCACCTCCTTCATCTTTCCGAGCTCCGCCACGCCTGGTGAAGGCATCTCACAAGCTCTCCACCAGCCTCGGGCTGGAGGGGCTGTGTGGACAGCCCCCTACAGTAGGGACTGGGGCGGACAATCATTCGTGGGACACCTGCCGATCGTCAGGCACTGTGCTCAGGGCCTTAGGGCCGTCTCACTCAATCACCCCGAGAACCCAGGAAACCTCAGCCGGCAGCCATGGCAGATGAGGAAGTAGAGTAACGTGACCAGGGTTGCAGAGAACAGGCTTCCGGCCCAGCGGCCACCCCTCCCAGACCGGGGCACGTGGACCTGGCAGCCAGTCGTCTTCCTGCTGCGGCACAGGAGGTGAGCCCACCGAGGGCCCGCTCATTCATTCATGCATTCATTCATTCTCCTGAGTGGTGCACCCTGAGCCCAGAGGGAGGAGACCGTGTGGCCGGGACACGGTGGGATCCCAGCTCCACGTCTGCCTCTGTGAAGCGAAGTACCAGAATGCCTCCCTTGGAAAGTTGCATGGGATTGGGGCTGCGTCTGTCCCTCCCCCTCCCCCGTCATAATCATAACCGCACATCCCCTTCCTGGCCGCCTTTCAAGCAGCCTGGGCGAAGGCCTTTAACCCCTCCCTCCTGCCCTCTGATATCTGCAGAGGAGCCTTGGGCAGCCCCTCACCCTCTCTGCAGGCCCGGGCAGGGGGCTGCACTGCTGTGTGCCCAGCAGCCCATTGTGTGCAAAGATGAGGTGCCCGGCCGCAGAAGAAGGTGTCCTTGGATGGGCAAAGTTGGGAGGGCCCCAGGGTGGGGGACCAGAGCCTACACACTACAGACTCACCCTGGCAGCTGGGCCTCGGCTCCGGGTCAGATGTGGGGTTGCACCTAAATGGACTTGGCAGAGAAATCTGCCATGTGGGACCCCCTCCCTACCCTTGTCTAAATGACACCCACGAGGGAGGTGCCTGGGAGCGTGCCACTTTGAGATACCCCAGTTCAGGCAACCACACCGTGACATACTGTCAGGTGGGGTGAATTCATGCCAGAGCCCCTCTCTGTAAATGCACATTTGTTTTGTCCGTTGTCATCCCCCTCCAGACCCGACAATGCCTGGCACACAGTAGGCCCTCACTAAATACATGCTAAATGAATAAATAAATGAACTAAGTATTTATATCACTGAGTGGCAGTGGGATTATAGGTGATTTTATTTTTGCTTAATATTAAAAAATGTCTTCAATAATTATATAGAATTTCTAATGTGAGGAAAAACTGCAGTTATTGCAAAACCTGCACAGCTGGTGTGGCCACAGGGAAATGAAGGGACTTTTGGCTGAAGGCAGCACTGCATCTCCCCCAAGGTCACAATGACTAATGTAACCTCCACACGTGGCCAAGATGTGGACAGGACCTGGAAAGAACCAAGCGGAAGTGGGGCTGGGGTGGGGCTTTTCTTCTCTCTCTCTCTCTCTGATTTCCACTCTGGTTATCACATTGCTGGGCAATCAGTTCAACTCAGGAAGGAAGACGGGGTGGTAATGCAACTGGTCACGGTGGTGTTGGGCTGTGGGGGTGCGAGGGATTCCGGGGGTCCAGGGCAGCTCATTTCACCTCCAGGAGCCTCGGTTTGCTCATCTGTAAAATGGGGTGAAGGCACAGACCTCCAGCTATTATGAAAAATGATGGCTGTCCTCCCCGGACTTGGCACTCACCCTGTGGGTGGCCTCGTTTTCTTCCCTTTTTCCTGCCCCGCTGCTCACAAAGTTAAGCAAGACTTTGCTGGTGCTTGTTTATTGGCTGCAAGATCAGCCCCTGCAGCAGCTGGCACCTGAAAAGGGCCATCACTGAAGTTGGCCCTAAGAGCAGGAGGACAGGAGCATCCCAAGAGCAGGTCTTGACCCCGCAGCCCGGGGCCGGGTCTCAGCTCTGTCACTTAGCAGTGAGCACTGCACCCGCCAAAAGTGAGCACAGCAGGGCCCACCTCCCAGGGCCCTGGAGGGGGCTCACTCTTCTGATAGGGACAGCGCTTGGACTGGGCACCGTGTCCTGAGACCTCACATCCCGAGGGAGGACAGTGCAGGTGAACAGGACCAACGGAAAGTCCCTTCTCCTCCCCGTACCCCAGTTCCCCCAAGTGAAAACCAAGTGCCTCCCTCCAGCTCTGAGAAGCCAGGCTCCAGCCTCCCCTTCCCAACCCTGCCCTTCCTACAGGGGGAGTGTGCGCCCCCTGGCGGCAGTGGGGAGAAGGGGCGGGGCTGGATCCCCGTCTGAGCTCCTGTTCGTCTTCTCAAACCGCTCTGGGGCGTTAACCTCCGAGCCTCTATGGAGGGTAAGACAGCAGCAGCTTTCACAGTCACCAATGCACGCACCCTTTGACCCTGCCATCCCACTTCTAGGAATTTCCCGTAAATGTGTCCATAGGCACATGGGCTAGGTGATATGTACGAGGTTATCATTGAATCAACAAGCAGAGTCGGATCAGCACAGTGTAAACAACGGAACGCCATGCAGTCATGTAAGTGGAGCCAGCTGGGCCGAGTGGTCTTAGCTCCTGTCCCCACCAGGGCTCCCTGGGTGGCAGAGTGCTCTCAGGTGAGGTCACAAGAGGGCCCAAGCCTGATCCTGCAGGGGACTCTGGAGGGTGAGTGATAACTCCTAACCCTGGGGGTAAGTTACAGCCTCCCCACCCACAAGGCTAGGGAGCAGGGCATTTGTTCCCCTTCACCTCTCGGTCACTGGCCCTATGTCAGGGCTCCAAATAACAGCTGCAGGTGTCGGCCCTTGGGAGCCTCTCACACTGCTGGTGGGGATGGCTGCTTTCACAGTGGCTGGCCTCAGGAAAAGTCAGCGTAAGATGAGCTTTTGAAAGTATCTTTTTCCATTATTATGGGGGTAAAATACACGTAACATGAAATCTACTATTTTAACCATTTTTAAGTAACCAGTTCAGTGGCATTAAGTATATTCACATTGTTATTTTAAAAAGTACATTCACACTGCAGTGCGGCCATCACCACCATCCACCTCCAGCACTTTTTCATCTTCCCAAAGTGAAACTCTGTCCCCATGAAACACTAACCCCCCTCCCCTCCCCCAGCCCCTGGCCCCACCCTCCTACCTTCTGCCTCTATGAGCTTTACTCCAGGTCGCTCGTATAAGTGGAATCACACAGCATTTGTCCTCTTGTGACTGGCTTAGCTCACTGAGCATAATGACCTCAAGGTTCATCATGTTGTAGCACATGTCAGAACTTCCTTCCTTTTTAAGGCTGACTAATATCCCCTTGTATGGATGGACCAACTCTGCTTATCCGTTCATTGGTCCGTGGACAATTGGGTTGTTTCCACCTTTGGGCTATTGTGAATAACGATGCTATGAACAGGTGTGCAAATATCTGTTCGAGCTCCTGATTTTATTTATTTTGGATGTATACTCAGAAGGGGGGTCTGTAGTTCTATGTTTAATTTTTTTGAGGAATTCAGATACTGTTTTCCGTAGCGAAGCCCAGGCACCTGGAAGGCTTCACAGACAGGGCAGCTCTCCCTGGATATTCACAGGAGGGGAGGGGGACAGTCCTCTGGCCGGCTGGTCTCAGCTGGTCACAAACCATCTGTAGGGATGAGGACCCATGAGCACGAACTTGGGCATCAAGCAGACCCTGGTGCATAGCCTGCTTTGCCGCTTGGTACCAGGAGCTCTGTGGGGCTGTTTCTCTGACCTTGTGAGGCTCTGGGAGACTTAAACGAGCCAGTGTGTGTAGGGGGCCCAGCCAGGCCAGCTCCCTCACTGCCAAGCAGCAGAGCCATTGCTCAGTTTGTTGAATCCCCTTCAAAATTCAGCCAGCGAGACAAACCAACGCCCCCAAAGCAGAAGGTTTAAAAATAATCCACCCACATGGGACACCTCCAAAGGAGCGGAAACCAGGTCATGAGATATGAACTAAAAGAGGTCACCGTCTCCAGCCACATCTCCAGGTCTGTGAACCAAGAAGAAGCAAAGGTTGTGAAAGGACACAGGTCCACAAATCAAACGTGAAAACCTTACCTCGTCCGGGCAGTTGTGCGACATAGCACACTGGCCTGGAGGCTCAGCGGGTTCAGACCTCAGCTCAGCACTTCCCAGCTGTGGGCCCTCGAGCTTCTCCTCATCTGGAGCAGCCACCTAGGGGCTGTCACGAGGGTCAGGTGAGATGACGCAAGTGACGGATGCGCGTGAAGCCTGCCCCTGAGTCAGGGCTCAAGCCCTGGGGCTGGTGTGACCCCGTCTGACCTCTCCAGGCTCCTAGCTGACCCCCCTCCCCCCATGCCCCAACCCAGGGCATCAGGCGCCTCTGTGATGACCCCCTTACATCTCCAGCATCTTCACTCACCCGCTCCCTCTCCTTTGACTCTCCTCAAACCGACCCCCACTCTCTACTTCCTAAATGTGAACCCGTCTCCCCAACCTCCATACCTTTACTTACTGTTGTGGGTTGAATTGTGTCCCCTCAAAAGATACATTCATCCTAACCCCTGGTACTTGTGAATGTGGCCTTATTTGGAAGTAAGGTCTTTGCAGATGTAGTCAAGTTAAGATGAGGTCAGACTGGAATAGGGTGGACCCTAATTCAATGACCACTGTCCTTCTAAGGGGGGATTTGGACA